ATTTGCTGACTTTATACATGTTTTTGTCTTTGTTTTTCTTTGTGTATGTTTTGTCTTTATAAAAGCAGAAAACCAAATAAAAATTTTATAAAAAAAAAAAAAATAAAAGTTCCTGTACAGCTTGGGACCAGGTTACCTGAGAGACTGCCTTATCCCTTATACACCCAGTAGGTGGCTGCAGTTGGCAGGAGAGTTTCTCTTGCTAGTTCCAGAGATCTCAGAAGCCCGCTCTGCAGAAACTCTGAGCAGGGCTTTCAGTGCGGCTTTTGCTGTTGTATGGAATAGCTTTCCCCTCAAGATACAACAAGCACTCATTATCTGCACTTCCTGGAAAGAGTCAAAGGTATTTTTGTTCCAGCAGCCTTTCCCAGCTGGATAAATGGGTCTTCGCCATGGTTTTAATCTTCTAAATGCACTTGTTGCTTTTGTGTTTTTAATTGTGTGTAAATCGCCTTGAGACGGAAGCTCAACCCAAAAATGTTTACAAAAATACATATATTGGGGGAAACTACATAAAAATGAATGTATTAGTGAAGATAGCTGGCAAAAATGTGCATGTAAGTCAAAGCTGCATCAAAAAAAAGTGTTTATTAGGAGAAATTCACATTAAATTGTTGAGAAATTTTCATGATTTTTTAAAAAAGAAATTGCTGTGGAAATGTGGAAAACTGAAGATAGGAAAAATAAAAAACAGAGAGACCTGAAAATGGCAGATTTGTCAATCCCTGGTGACTACAAGATGCTAAACTGTTGAGCGAGGTGGGGTGGGTGGAATGGAGTATCCTGGCAGATGGGGTAACTGGCTTGCTAGAACCCTGAACAGAAGTGTTCCACGTTGCCACATATTGTTGCATGTCCTCTGTGTCGGTGCCCTTTTCATTTACATATATGCAGTCTTCGTATCCAGTTCAGAGCCACAGTTCCTGCCATGACCACATAACAGCGAGAGGGTGTTTACCCAATGGATCATGTTGTGTTTGTGTGTGTTCCTGCAAGACTGTTTCAAATCCTCAATGGACGGCCTTGGGAAATCATCTGTGCCTCATCTCTCCCACCAGCAAAATGGGAATAAATAATTTATAGGGGTGAGAGTTGTAAAATGCCATGTGTGCTTGAATGACCTGATCAGGGGAGCTGCTGGCTCTCGCTGGGAGGGAGAGGAGGGGCCACACACAGGATAGACACACCCTGGGTACTCCCATCTTTTGGACTGGCCTGACAAACTGGGATTGGCGAGTTCTGAATTGACTCACGCTGGCCCAAACTACTTTTTCTTATTTTGCAGGTGAATAAAAGGAAAACCACCGAGTCACAGAGCCCTGCCACGATTCTGTGTCAGAAAATTGGTTTTGCATTTCATGTCTACTTGACTGTATATGGTATATTGGGGCAGGGTAGCCTTATGGTTGACTGTGCATGTTACATAGGAACTTCTATAGCATACTACACTGTAAAGGCCATACTGAGTAGCAGAGTGCCTTCCCTGCAAAGCAGCAGGTTCCAGGTTCCGTCCTCTCTGGCACCTCCAGGTGGGGTTGGGAGACTTGCTGGCGATTTAACTTGCTGGCGATGAGCGTAGATTATACTACATTTGAGCCAAATGGTACAGGGGTCTGAAAGCAGCCTCCCATGTTGCTACTTCCTTTTGATTGTCTTAGCCTAATGCATCCTTCAGATCGTCTCACTCCAACCATGTAAGCATAGCCAGACTGAGTCCCAGCCCCTTTTGGGATGCTTACGGTTTTGAGAAGGTTGTTGTTGTTGTTTTAGCGCTGCCAATGCAGCTTTATGATTAACATCCTTTTTTGTTGACATAGTGCTGTGGGTGTTGGCAGGTAACCCATTATTTTCAAAGCTAAGAGTGCACCTGTGTTCCAAAGTCCGTTGGAGGCAGACTGGTTTCCAAATTGCAAGCTTTACCAGACGGCTGATATAAAGCAGTCCTGGACGATGTGTTGTTTTTATTCCTGCATTATTGAAAACTCTTGGATGGCAAAGTCCTCCAGATGCGACCTGGGAGCTGGAGAAGAGCCTAGGAGCAGCTTTTAGCACATGCAAAGGTAATGCAAATCTGTCTTGAGCAATTGTTTCAGCGGAAATGTAGCTCTGGGGTGCCCACTTTTAAGTAGGCCACCCCCCTCTTCGTTAGAGTCAGTGTGTCTGGGTAGGAGGAACGTTTAACATCTTGGCATAGCCTTGGAAGCAAAGCAGCCCAGTGGAAGGAAACCATCAGGAGTTGTGTAGGCTCTCCCAACCTGTAGGTTGCATACACAGCAAATTGCCTATTTTCAAGGCAGTAGCAGTATTGGACTACAATTGTAAGCCTACTCACTAGAAATGAACCGTGATGAACTCTGCAAGATTTACTGTTAAGAAAGCATGCATACGATTGTATGCTAGCAAGGGAGATGTGAAGCAATGCAAGAATAACAAATAAAGCATCCCTGACAGATCAATCAATCAATCTCACCATCTCTATACATGGCGATTTACAAATAACAGGTTTGACAGGTCCCTGCCCCATTAAAAATGAAAGAGAATAGACATGGGGTGAAACATATGGAAAGAATACGCAATTATTTCAAATGTACTTTGGTTTCATTACAATGGATATTGACACCAGCAATCAGTTTTAAAGGCTATTTTTCTCTTAATATTTCTGATATTTTAACTTCGTTTGTTATTGGTTAATTATGATAGCTTCATTATCTGCAAACAGAAATACTGAATGCTGGATACAAATTTGTAAATAAATAGTGACCCACCAGTGTTGGTTAAGCATTGAAACAGAAAAGGAGAGTTTTCCTTTCAACTACTTCATTTTTTGTGTGATATCTGATCAGTCCTTTTTACACATTTAATCCCTGCCCCCCCCCCGCAAGGTACCAGTGGTTTAAGAATGGCTGTGGACCTTTGAAGGAAATGCAGCTGAAACTCCAAGTGCTAAAACTGCGCCTGCTTGGAAGCTGTTGAACAAAACAAAAGGCTCCCTGTCACACACAAAAACCCAGCCAGCCCAGCACAGTTGCTGCTTTCCCGGTGCTGCATTGCTTTGGATATTTGTGATGGCAAGTGAGAAAAAACAAAGCCGCCTTCTCCCCAAAAAGTGCTTTGGGTGTGTTTAGGCAACAGGCACATGGTTCATGGAGAAGTGACAACATTGCTCTGCCTGGCATGTTGCCCTTACTAAGCCTCTGAGCAAGCTGGTGTCCTGTTTTTTTTGACTGCCAGTTTGAAAATGGAGTTTACCTTCAACAGTGATTTAAAAACAACAACAACAATTTAGTGTGATGTATGGAACGTGATATGCAACACCCATTTTCTCCCCTGTCCAGCTTGTATCCATGATAGACGCGCCTCTTGCCTTGCCATTTACTTATTATTTACTTATTGCCAAGAGCAAACCCCAGCACTAAATTGTTTTAACAGTGGGTGTGGTGTAGATCTACCTGAGAACTGCAGCCGCAGAGTATTAAAGAGACGGAGGGGGAGAAATTGGAGAGAATTGGTCAGCTTGTCCATTGCCTGTTCTTTCGGTGTTGTTGCCTCAGGAAATTTAATGTAGGTTTTATGCATTCTGGTCTGCAGGATTTCAGGCGGGTCATTCCGGGCCCTGCCGGGTGTTGGCAGGAATTGAACCTGGCCTGGGACCTTCTGCATGCAAAGGAGATGCTGTAAGGCTGAGCTACGGCTCTCCGTCTTTCTGCTAAAGCTTTCCCAAAAAATATTTACAGTACAATAATCCTGGTTTCCAAGCTCATTCTTCTTGGAATTTTCAGAAGGCAAAGCTGTCAGCCCTGGTAAGCCCAGCCTTTGCTTTTTCAGAGAACGTTTGGAGTTGCTCCTGGAAGAAGCATGCAGGCTCTTGTATTTTCATAAAAACAACTGCTTTGTAGACCTTTTTTGAGAGGAGGTTCTGTGTTAGTAGTCTTTTGCATCAGGAACAACAGAGAGCTTTGTGGCACTTTAACCAATTTATTATGGTACGAGTTTTTGTGGGCTGCAGATTAAAACGGGCATATTTTACGATTGTCCTCTGCATGTATGTTCCTATTACTTGTATCAAAATAATAAGTGAACAGGCAGGCAGCAGGGAAGGACCCTGAACTAATATTCTTATATGCACATTTATTATTAACAATATCATTAATTCTCAACTTAATTTCTCCCTTGCTTTTTAAAACTTTAAACAAAAAAATGATGCGCAACACTGCCATATTTTAATAATCTCTGGTTTAATAATCTCTTGCGTATTCTCTGAGCTGGAAGTTTTCTGTCCGCCTCCCTACCTCAGTGCCCTACCTCACAGGGTTATTTCTAGGGAGCTAGTATTGTGAAATGCACATTTATTATATCTAGTTGTTGTTTGCATCCAGAGACAATGGAAGGATGCGCCATGGGGGGTGAAATGAAACTGCTGGAGGGATGCCGCGCTTGCTGTGGCTGTAGAGACCCACACGCGAGAGAGAGAGACATGTTGTGTTGCAGCCGGGGCAGGCGGAGGCGTCGGGTTTGGCTGGTGCAGACGATGCCCTCCCATGGCGTTTCTCCTCTCTGCGCTCCTCCTGGCTGTGATGATCACAATGCCATCCCCATCACAGTCTCTGGCTTGCTTTTGCAGTCGTGGGTGGAGGATCGCCAGGCAGCGAGCTCCCTGTTCTCTGATCTGTATCTGCTGCGCGGGGGCTGCTGCCTCTCCGGCTCCCCCCGCCCCCCCCCCGCGCGCCCTGCGGCTGGAGAGCAGAAGGAGAAGCGCAAAGGGGGGGGGAGGCAGGCAGGGAGATGGAGAGAGGGAGGGGAGAGAGAGCCCTTTGCAGGAGGGAGGCGCCCCATCCCGGCCGCCCTCCCTCCCTCCACATCTGGGCCACTCACGGCCTCCCTGGGCGGCGCGCCTCCTCCAATGGGCGGCGCTGCTGCCAGGCCGCTCTCACTTTCGGCACAGGAAAAGCTCCCGGCGCAGCCAATGGGCGCGCAGTTGCTGCTGCTGCTGCTGCTGCTGGCATCTGGGGCGCCGCGCGGCGGGCGGGCGGGCAGGAGGGCGCGCAGCTCCCGGGATCGCGGCTGCAGCAGGAGCAGGAGCAGCAGAAGGGCGGGAGGAGCCGCCGCCGCCAGGTAAGGGATCGGGGCCGGGCGCGCCGCTGCGCTGCCGCCTCCTCTCCAAGGGCGACGCGTTTCCCGCCTGCCTTCTCGGCGGCTGCCCCCCCCCCCCGAAAAAGGAGCCTGGCTCCCGCGGTTCTGGGGATGCTGCTCCGAGGGCGGCGGCGAAGGGAGGCAGGATCGGGTCTCCAAAGGGAGCCCGGCGGCGGCGAAGGGATTTCAGTTTGACGAGGGCCCGTTTAGCCCCCGCCAGCTGCGCATCCCTCCCGCCGCGGAAAGGCAGCGGGCGCCTCTGGATGGAGCTGCCTGGGCCGCCTCGGGGCATCTGGTCTCGGGAGGGGACCAGATTCCGCCCCAGAAACCCGGGACACCCCAGGCAGCCCCTTCGCCCTCCCCTGGGGTGGGGGGAGGTGGAAGCCCATCATGTTTTGGTTTTTCCCTTATTTTCTGTGCACCGCAAGTTTTGGCCAGGGGGCTGCCTTCCGCCCAGGGTCCCTCCCCGAGACTGGGAGATCCAGGGCTCGAGTGGAAATGTCGAAGTGAGGATCCCGCGTTGGATTAAGCGGGTGGAGAGGAGGTCAAGTTGCGTGGGGGGAGCGAGGCTGGCTTCCCCCGAATTATGAGTTTGAGGTTTCCAGGTTGTGCTGGGATTTTGACAGCGGAGGGGGGAATTGCAGTCTGGTGTGCTGGATTTCTCACCGACCTGCTTAGCTGTGCAAGAGGATGGAAATCTAGGAGAAGAGACCCGTTAGGACCTCCTTGCATCTGGTCCTTCCTTCTTCCTCTTTGCTGTAAGAACGCAAAGCACAGACCAAGGCGGTGCTTGTGGTTGGAACTGATGTCTCAATGAGTGCTAGTTTAAAAAACCGTCGGGTTTTAGCTGAGACACAGGCAGCTTTAAAGTTTTATTTCTCACCATGCGATGAAATACCTCATGGGCTGATTTTCCTAGATCAAGTGTAAAGGCCTGATTCTGCCCCCCCCGCTCCCACCGCACACCCATCACTTGGCAACCCAAGTGGAGTTACTCCGTGAAGGCAGCGCAGAGGGTGTGTTCACATCTGACCCTGAAGTTCACTGCTTTTGTGTGGATGTGCAGTTGCTGTGGATATGGATGTGGGCTGGAGTGTAAAATAGGCTTTTTAAAAAGCTGAATGCCTTTTCTCTTGCTGAAACTGATCTTGAATTCACATGGAAAATGTAACTGCCGGTTTTAAATATTGTCCCAGTGTGTTTTGGAGGAGGAAGGGGTATCCCTTTCCATCTGGTTCACTTAGCTCAGGGTGACAATGGTTTGGCAAGGCCTGGCAGAGGAGGATTTCTTAGCCCTGATGTTCATGACACACTTTCAATGTGGAAATGAGAGAGCCAATTCCCACTCACCCTCAACTGAAACTTATTGTGGCTGCTCCTTCACAGAAATCTTCCCAGGGTGACAGTCATGTGGTGAAGCCATATCAGGTTTTGGAGAGTGTGTGGCAGAGGCCACAATGGTTGGTTAACATTCCCCCTGGCTATTTGTTCCTCCCTGCCACTTTGGGGAGAGTTGGATGCAGGCAGAAATGAGTGATCCTGCATTTGAGCTTTGAGGGAGTCCTATCCTGTGAGAGGAGGATTGCACCACCTTTCTGAAACAATAAGAGCTGCAAAAGGTTTTAATTAATGTGATGGACCTTCTTTCTTTTTCTCATCTTTTTGTGGTTTCTCACTGAATAAATAGAGTGCCACTGCAACAATGAGGCCTACAAACTTGATTCCTTGGAATGTCTGTTGTCTTTAGGGGGAATTCTAAGCAAAGCTACATCACCACCTGAAGACTTTCCTGCATGACCTGTTCAGGCTCTATTAGCATTGGAACAAGAGTGATGGCACAAGGCCATGGAGTCAACATTGCTAAGATGCTAGTCTACTGCAGCTTTCCCAACAAAGATATGTGAAAGTGGGCTGCTTTGCATTGCTTGGGATATGTTTTGATATTCTGTGCCAGTTTTTGCCAGCCTGGTGCCCACCAGGCTGATAGGAGCTGCATTGCAAAACATCTGGAGGGCACCAGACTGGCAAAGGCTGTTCTGTGCCTTGCCTTGATGCATAAGATCAGAATCATTTAATTAATTAAGTTAATTATGAGTTTTGAGAGTAAGCTCTCCCCTTATTAATAGTCTTACTTCTGCTGTAAGTCAGCTTGATGAGGACTCTGAATTTTACTATTCTGAGAAAGGGGGGGCAATAATGTTTCCTCTCTCCCTCCACACTTTTATAAACCTTTACCATTAATCTTATTCTCTCTCTTCCCCATGCACCTACCAATGAGTTTTAGACGTCTTTTATGAGTGAAGACTCGCTTTTGTTTATCTTATGGTGGCCTTGAAAAGTTTTTTTTGTATACCAACCTGCAAGCAAAATGTATTTATTATACATTATGTTTCAATAGATAGATCCAGCTATCTTGATTCTAAAGGATTTAACTGCTGTGTGTTGAACAAAATGGCTGGTTTTGAATCCTTCAGAACAAAACTGGAATCCAGTGACTATAACGACCTTGTGTGTTTGGAGCAAGTGAAGTGTGATAAACTGAAGAGAAAACAAAGGCTCAATTTGTCCCCTTTTAAAATCATAATAATGATAATAATAAATTCCTTCAAGTAGAACTTTTTGTGCTTTCCATCTCTCTGGTTCTTCCTGCTTCTCTCCCCTTGTTTCTCTTCTGTTTTATCTCTCAGTTTTACTTCTTTGTGAGCTACAAAGCTTTATCTCTGCAGATTCTCCACATTCCCGTGAGCTGACTTGTAGTCTGACCGTTCCTGAAAATCCACGTGGCTCGTGGGATATTGTCAAGGCACCGTTGTTGGTATGTGTGGGCTGGTGCTTTCCCCCACCATATTCTTTTATTTTTTTTATGATCCTTTTGGTTTAATTGTTGCAAGATCATCTTCACACAAGGGGCTCTCAGAGTCAGCCAATTCAAGCGGCAAGTCCTGAGATTCAAGTTCCATATGTGTGCATGTGGGTAGGAATTGTATGGTTGAATGTTCTCCATGGAAACAAACACACACACACACACACACACACACACACACTGTCCTTAATGCACATAGAAAACAAACATTGCAAGCAGAAGGGTTCAGCCCAGCCTGTATGAAGGTGCTAAAGCTCAGTGGTAGGACATCTGCTTTGCGTGCAGAACGTCCCAGTTTCAATCTCCAGGAAGAGCTGCTCACCGTCAGTGTAGACAATACCAAGCCAGATGGAGAAATGATTTAGTGCAGTAAAAGTCAGCTCTCTATGTTCCAGTTTAATTCAGCCCTTTCATTCGGAACAATGAAGACTATAATCTTCTTTTTTTAAGGGAATGGTCAGCAGTTCAGTGGTAGAGCATATGCTTTGCTTGTAGAAGATCTCTGATTCAGTCCCCCGCATCTCCAGGTGGGGCTGGGAGGAAAACCTCTTTGAAACCCTGGAGAGTCACCAATCTACTCACAGAGTTAAAAACTGGCAGTGATCTACCCCTTTTGGGGTTCAGGTCAAAGTTATTGAGCTTTTTAGGAAGGGTATGGATTAGGAAGGAGGAAGCCCCATTTTTTGGGGTGCAGGGCAAAAGTGTTGAGCTTTTTTTTTTTTTTTTTAGGGAAGCCAAAGTTTTTGAGCTTCTTTGGGGGGAGCCAGTGCTCTGCCTGTTGGACGTGCCTGAGCTAGATGGACAAGCTTGGTATAATTTGGCTTCCAGTGCCAATCTTATTTGTCGGGGGATTTGGGTAGGTGTGTTTTTAATGGCACATTAATATGGCACACTCCGCTGTGAATGGAGGTTCTGTTCAGCTATCATACCAAAAAGACATTGGTATCCTTCTCCTCCTCAACCCACATATTCGTTTGATCCAGGAGTAGCCAAAGCCAAAGCTGCACTCTTCATATGTTGCTGGGCTGCAGCTCCCATCAGCCCCAGCCAGCCCTGTCAAAGGTCAGGCATCATGGGAGCTGGAGTCCAACAACATACGGAGGGACACATCTTCCCCAACCCTCGTCTTAGGATCTTGGGGCAGCACATTGCTTAGACTAATTCTGCATTGTGCAATCGATTCCTTTCCTCTACCTTGGTGCTTATCTTCATTAGAGAACCCTGATTTCAAGGATTTTGGGAGAGGGAGAGAAGCTTCTTCCTATCTGCTCTGAGTACTGGTTTTGGGGTGAAAGGAGGGGCACTAGAGAGGTTGGGGTGACATTGTGGGGGAAGAGGATGCTTGGTAGGGTAGATCTTTGCTCTGATCGGACTGACTTCCTTTTTTAATTGCATGCATTTACTTCCTCCCTTTACACCTACGAAGGAAGAATGGTAAATCAAATTGTGTGAATATTTGGAATTAGCAAAAATGACAGAAGTAATTAGAACTCAACAAAAACCAAAGGTTAAAAAAGGAGTGGGATGTTTTAAAGAGTATCTGGAAAACCATTTTTCAGAAGTGTAGGGGGACCTGTCCCCTAATAAACACCCAATCAATCTCCCCACTTGGAAATTGAAATCTTTGAACTAGGATGCTCTTAAATCCTCATAGATTGGGCCAGCGTAAGTGGTGGGGTAAATCGTCAGGCACATGACAGCTATGTGGGCATCCTCTCTCTTCAGAGGGGATCCAGTGACAGCATCCTTCAATTACGGAAGAAAACATGGACTGGAATCTCAGAGCTGTAAAGGCTTGTCTCCATTCCACGTTTATCATCCTGTTTACGTAGTGAGAGCGAGGGGTCTGAATTTTGGCAGAAGTGGTCAGCACAAAAGTTGCATTTTAAAATATGAGATTTCAGGTGGTAAGAGGCTATCTTAAAATCTGAAAAGCTCAGAATGCTGAAAAAGAGGCCATACATGTCAATAACTTTTATTTCCTGATTCCAAGACGGAATTGCATTTTAGTTCAGGCTCAAGATCTCATTGAAAGCAGAAAATACTAAATTGGGCCGTACCCACCTTTTAAATTTTAGCCAATGCCTAGGGGCAAGGATATGCACCCCTGCCTTCACTG